TATGTAATTCGTGAAGCGTTTGGCAAACAAGCCGCTGCCATAAATCACATAATTCACGCTCTGTGGCACGAGGCAGAGGCAGTGGCAAGAAAGGAGAGCGCACTTCTTTTCTAATTCAATTTTTTGCAATCGCTTTGAAGTCCACTCAAATTTCAATAATTCTTCATTTCCATCGACATGCAAGCGCAAACAAATTATGGCCCAAAAAGGAGAAAATCTGTTATTAAGCCATTTACAGTGGAGGCAAACAAAGCGAATGCTTTGCACTCTTTCAATGGCGTTATCTTAAATCTTAAGCTGACGACAAAGGAAAACCATCCAGTCACATCTTGGGCGACAGGCGAGACAATTTATAAAATTAAAAGAGCCCCCCCCCCCCTTCCACCCAACACCCACCCGAGAAAAAAGAAAATGCAATGAAGGAAACTTCTTTTCCGTTCATTCGCCCGGAAGGCCGTTACTGTGCAGCGGCACGATAAGTCCACCCCTTGCCCCTGCCCCGTACAAGTGTGTGCGGGAGGGGTTGAGAGGGCCTCACTGCATTTGGCATATGCGGCATATTAGTTTGTAAGCCTCTCCGAATCGTTATCAAAGGGACGGAGAGCGTATGTGTGTGTGTGTGTGTGTCAAGTGGCGCTGACAAATCCCAGAAATCCGACCCAAAACCGTTTCGCCAATCCCGCCGAGGGATTGCAAATTTGCATATTGCAAAAGCATCTCTCGAAAACGAAAGATTAATTATACCCTGGACTCGTGCAGTCAGAGGGTTTTTGGGTGTTAACCAAGGAAACGTCCCACGAGACTAAAAACAATTTATTTTCAATAAAAAAAACATTTTTATATATGAACATTTTTTTCGATGATATTTTTGTAAACTTTACTAAATTGAATAATTTCATTGACTTTAAGGCAAAAATATATTAAAATTCGGAAAATTCGGATAATTCGGAAAAATTAATTTTTTTTTATATATTTTACAGTGACATTTTTCATTATTATATTATATATTTTATAGTGATATTTTCCATTATTTTCTTAAAGTTATTCTTAAAGTGATATTTTTCTTTAATTTTTTTCTGTATTTTATAGTCTTTTTCTTTTTTTTTCTTTTTTTTTTAAAGTAATTTATATGTTTTATAGTGTTTTTTCCTTTATTATTTTCTTAAAGTTTTTTATATATTTTATAGTGCTTTTTCTGAATTATTATTTTCTAGTACAAGAAAAAATATTCATGATAAAAGTTCTTCCTTAAAAGTATCTCTTATGTAATTATTTAACTATGCATATAATTCCAAAAAAATCTAACAATCTTAAACAAATTTTAAAAATATTTTCTTTATTCGTTTACTGCCCCCGGCTCACTAGCTTCGTGGGCCCACCCCTGGCTCACTCGCTTCAACCGCTCGCGTGTTATGAGTAATATACAACTTTTTTTTTATATTATAGATAGATATATTTGTATCTTTTATTAATCCAAGAAATGGTATTTAAAATTAAATTTAAAAAAATATATAAATAATATTTGGCTAAAATCCAAACCATTTTTAAGAGGAATCGGAATGCAGAAAATTTTATAATTTATCACAGTAAAATAGTCCTTCAGGTCTTTTATTTTTTCGACTACGACTGCCTTGACTTTTTGCACTAACCTTAAAAGCAAAATATCCCAAAAATCAACAACAAAAAGACAACCAATTTTCTGAGCAAAAATCCATATCAGTATCCGTCTTCCAGGGTACCTTCTGGTCGACCTAATGCCGCAGTACTCACTCAATTTACAGCCTAGTTGCGGACAGAGCCGGCATTTAAGTATGGAAATCTACGGCCTACTGTCAGTGTCGTCAGTGGTAAGTACCCGAATCCATTCTCCTGTGGCATGCCCCTCCCCCCATTCGACAGGGGGCCAGTGGTTGTGACACCTGACAAATCACAAACGCAAGCAGTTTACAATTGATGTTAAATCAAAGAAATAAACACGCCTGTGTGTGTCTGTGTGTGTGTGTGTGGTGTATCTGTGTGAGAGCCCTATATTTGTCAGTCACACTCAAAGAGCGGCTACGTGACAATTTTCTGTCATTCCGCCTGGAGGCGTATCCGTTTCCGTTTGACTTTCACTGCGACGTATTTTTTATTTTTTTTTTTATTTAACTTAATTTTTTGGCAGCGACTCTAATGCTCGACTGGCTCGGCTCTCAGCCGTGTTTGTGCCCCTGATTGTTGTTTATGCGAAAAGGGGCGTGTGTGTGTGTGTGTGTGTGTGTGTGTGCGTGTGTGCGTGTGTGTGTGGAAAACAATATGCAAATTCCAGGATGCCAGGATGCCGGGAAACGGACAAAAGGATTGAGCTTTTGGTCTGACAGCCGTTTGACAGAAGGTAAGCGCCCGACCTCTGGCCCCGCTTTATGCACACCTGGCTGGCAAGGCGACGACACCAGGGGGGGGGAATTCCCCAAAGGAGTTGCCGCCGCCACTGTCATGCTTTAATCAAGTGCCAAACAACACGACGACAAAAGTCTAAATTAGCATTTTGTATGTGGAATCAATTCAATAGTCCATCAAAATCTAAACATACACTCGGAGAAAATTAGGATGATTTAGAAAATAAAAAATACAATAAAAAATGCGTTCTATCAAGGTCAAAGAATTTGTATTAGTTCGTCAAAAGTAACAAAAATTGTATTATTATTATTTCAAATAAATAAAAAATAAAAATCAATAATCAAACGAAAAAACATTACTAAAAAAAAAAAAAAAAGATATTGAAGTTATACTCGAAGAAAAATGCTTAAAGAACACACAAAAATATCTGAATGAATTATTTATTATTATCCATTAAGAACTCATGACGGTCTTGCCTGTGAAAGCGGTTCCTGGCTTTAAATAAAAAAATAATAATTAAAATTAAAATACAATATTTGATTTTAAGTTGCAAAATTGTATAGAATTAACTTTGGTTGAAAAATAAATATAATCCAAAACTAGATTAAGTTGCCACGAAAGGTAGCACACTAAAACAAAAATGTTCAACATTAAAAAATAAAAAATAAAATATTTTCATCCCTATTTAATCGAAATATAAAACATTTGTAAATAAATAAAATACCTCTCTTTATAATTTCCACAATTTCAGCTGGCGATTGGCATTGGATTGTATTTTCCTCTACGATTCTTTGGTTACCTTTTTCAGGCTCTCATTTTTCTGAATTTAAACGATTTAACGACCATTGAAGGTATTTTGAGTTTGAATATTGCACAGTTCCACAGAAATAGGACTAAGTGTGAAGCACTACCAAAAAAAGGGACCACAGGGCCAAAATACAGGATTATCTTTCAAAAAGTGCCAAGAGTACACCTTATTTAAAACCATTTTTCGTTAAACAAAATCGCACAAAAAGAGTAAATAATGTTACGATTATAGAAAATTGATACCTTTATCGGATGAAATAATTTGTTTTAAAAAAAATTGCGAGGGAAAAACTCTTAAAACAGCTGTAAACGAAAACAATATTTCAGTCCCATTGCCGTATATTTAATCTATGTATGTATGTAGTCGTGGTCCCAAATTTTTCAATATTTTTAGATCCAAGTAAAATAAATATTGAATATTAACTAAAATAGTTATAGGTTAATTAATTATTAAACGTTTAAAAAGTAAATATTGAATTAAAAAAAATTTAGAAATAAATTAAATATTAACAACAAAAAATTTTACTACGTTGTAGTCCCGATATATTCATTATTTTTAAATCAAAGTAAAATAAATATTACCTAAAATAATTCTAAAATTAATTTATAATGTTAAAGAAGAAAATATGGAATTAAAAATTTAATTAAATCCTTTTAAAAAAATTTGAATTAAAAAATACAAAATAAAAGTTGTATTTCATTGTAGTCCTAAAATTGTTCAATGTTTCTAAATCCAAGTAAAATAAATAATAAATATTAACTAAATTATTGAATTAAAAATTAAATTAAATTTTATTACCAAAAAAATATACTTTCGTGATATATATTTATATTAATTATTTTAAAGTCCAAGTAAAATAAATATTTAATATTAATATACAAAATTATAAAACCTTAAAAATGTAAATATTGAACAAAAAATTTAAAAATTACATTAAATTATATTTTAATAAAAATAAGTTTTTTTTCGTTGTATTCCTGATATATTCACTATTTTTAAATCCAAGTAAAATAAATTATCAATAATAAACGAATAATTATAAATAATACAAAAAGTAAATATACAAATGTCAATGCTGTTTTCTCTGAGTGCACGCATACAGATGATTATTTAAATACTCTTGCATACATCACATTACATTCTGAATTCTAAAGAATAAGCAACTGTCCCAGAACTAAACTTTTTGCTAAAGCCAATCCTTGAAGACCCATTGAAAGTTTTCTCTTTCTTTTTTTTGCAGCACAAAACACGAGCTCTCTCCAAAGCGAAACTTGCTGTCGAGGGTGCTTCACAGTCACACCAGAGGTGGAGGGTGGAACTTTTCCAAAGACCCTCCTCCAAACCACCTCCACACAATGCCCGAAGACCGCCGCCCCATAAATGCATAGAAATTCAGTGCAGAAATTAGAGGAAATCCACAAATCGAAGTAAAAGTTTTTCCCCTTCGCTTGGCCCCGGCCCCGACCCCGGCCAGGCCTTTGGGCCAGTTTATTGTTTGCAAATTTCCCAGGGGGGTCTTATAAAGCCATGCACCAGACCACACTCCAATCCACACTCCATTCCAATCCGTTGTGGCTCAAATATTTGCGCTGCTGATTACTTTTAATGCTCAAAATCGTATGTGGGCAGTAGGCCTGCTCCTGCCTGGGCATCCATCAATCAGTTCTCGAGTTTGACCCAAATTCAAACAAAAAAAAAGAAACACAAACCCAAACCCCAACCGATATTGGAGGTTTTCTTACTCAAATTTGTAGTTCCATTATTGTGGTTTTTCTTTTCTTTTATTTTTCGATATATCCGATAGCCGGGTGGCATGTTTCGTAGTGTGCCCATCCTGCCGCTCCTTTACGGGGCTCGCAGCCTGTGGGATTACCAAAGCCGGAGTCTCGGCTTCCCCGTTCTGCAGGCCTCCGGGACAGCCGATGATTTCTGCGAGATTCCCCTGGAGCAGCGGCAGAAACGGGGTCCTCACACCCACCATCGCGCCCACTTTCGGGAGATGCGAATCCTGGAGTACGAGAATCGTTTGCGCCTGTACTCCAGCCCGGAGAAGGTGTTCCGGTATTTTGCCACCATCAAAATGAAGCACAAGTCCGGCCGTTGGGAGGTGTACATGACGCCGCCGGACTTTATGCGGGCCATAACGCCGGGCTCCCGCCGTCAGCCGGAGAGCCTGGGCCTGGACAAGTTCTACAAAGTATCGGAGGGGCATATGCACAAGCATCGCTGCTCATCGTTGAGCGACAACAGCATATTCTATAGCTTCCAGAAGGACGGACTCCTGAGCTTCGGGGACTATCTGTTTCTGGTGATGCTGCTGTCCGTGCCGGAGCGTTACTTTGAGCTGGCCTTTCGCCTGTTCGACGTCAATGGTGATGGGAATCTCTCGCACGATGATATGAACTTGTATCTATCGAAAGTCTGCCAGGGGGATGGTTCGGTGAGGAATATGAACGTAAACCAATACTTTTTCGGGCCCAATCTCGATCAGAAGCTCAATGTGAATGTCTTCCTGGAGTTTCAGCGAAAGCTGGCCAGCGAGGTCCTGCTGCTGGAGTTTCAGGCCCTTCTGAAGAGCTCCAAGACGGTGATCAGCGAGGTGGCCTTTACCAAAATGCTGATGGCCTACTCCACGGCCAGCAGCATGGAACGTGCCACAATGCTGCATCGCGTCCAGGAGAAGTACAAGAATTCCGATAAGGGCGTGACACTCGATGAGTTTCTGACCTTCTTTCGGTTCCTCAAGGATGTGGCCGCCGTGGACTCGGCCCTCACGTTCCACTATCTGAGCGGGGCGGATATCTCGCGTCAGACCCTGCGGCACATTGCCCACGTGGTGGTCGGTGTGCATCTGACCGATCATATTATTGATATCATTTTCACCATCTTCGATACGGACGATAATGGTATACTGAGTCGCACAGATTTCTTCGAGACGCTGCGCGATCGCTTTGCCCGATCACCGAAGCGGAAGTCCCCCCATCTGGCCGCCCTGATGGGCATTGCCTGTAGGTGTGCCACCCAGGTGTTTGTCGATCGATATTTGCACTGAGATGCGCTCCAAAGGCTTTTAGCAGGTCCCCCCTCCCCCCGCCTGGGGGATCCAAGAACAAAGAGGTGGCACGTCAATTGAGGCTACGACAGGAGATGAAGTTGGAGTTGGAGTGGTGACTAGATGCTGCACAAAAGCGCAGTCTGTTTGCCTTCGACTTGAAACGTTTCAACTTCAGGCGAAGAAGCGCCGTGCCTCTCCCCGCCTTGCCGCACCGCCCCGTCAAGTGGAAACAAGTTGAAAAATGAAGCGAACCTCAAGGATGAAATCCATTTTGTTGTCTCGACACTTGAGCGGCGTCTGCCAAGAGTGTTGCGAAAATTCAAATATAAAACAGATTCTTACAAAGCCGTACCCGAAACCCGTAACCCGTTACCCGTAACCCGTTACCCGGGGTCGACCACGTAGCTTACATGACTTTGAACTTTTATCACCTGCTGCGAGTGCGAGTGGGTGGTCTGGGTGTGTGACCAAAACAATTTTAAATACTTGCGGTGCCACGCACCCTGGGAATGGCTTTGGCACTTCATTGACGTTGCTTCCTGATGGCTGTGCCCCTCTCTATGGAGCTCCTCAAACGCTAAAACAATAGTGCTCTATGTGGCACACACGCGCACTTTATTGGTCCATTTGCCGGGACGACAATTTGGTGGTCACAAGGGCCAGAAATTCTCCAGATACTTGTATCTTTTTACTGCCCCGAAATGTTGAAAGTGAAGTTCTGAGCAATTAATTTAAGCAGACAGAAGCGAAGAAGATGTTTTGCATAATCTTCAGTAAGGGTCAGAGGTCGGAAGGCATATAATTTGTTTCATACAAATTTTGAACTAAAAATTAATTATTAATATTTATTATTAAAATCAGATATAATTTAATGACATATTTCAATTGAACTAAATTAAAAAACGTAATTATTGTACTAAAAATTTTAAATTAATTTAACAAAGTTTTGATTTTAATTATATATTTTCCGTTTTGTATTAATTTTAATTAAAAAAAGTTTAAAAATAATCCTAAAAAAAAATATAAATAAATAACTCACTTTTATTTTCTCTGATTTCTATAAATAAAATACGAAATTTTGTTTTAAATAAACGAATATTTAATTTCAGTTTAATTTTTATCTTCCATTTCAACTATTTTAAAAATTATTTTTGAAATCTTTCTATATTTTATAAAATTAGTATCAATTAAAACAAAATTAAATTTGTTAAAAAAAAAATTAATTTTTTTATCTTTACTCTGTAATAATTTTTGTATAATTATATTATTGTAATTGTAATTAATAATTAATAATTGTAATATTTGTATAATTGTATAAGTTTTAAAATTATAAAGTATTTTTGATAAGTAAAATTATTTGTATTTTCTTTAGTTTGTAGAATTAAAAAAAGGAAATTATATTTTACAAATTTTAAAAATAATTTTCAATACAGATTTCATTTTGTTGTTTTAACCGCATTTTTTTTAATAATATAGTAACAAATTATTATTTAAAATATTAAAAATTGTTTTTATGTAAATTTTCTGTTAAAACAATCAAAAATAAGACATATAAAACAATTTATTTGTGATAATTGGATAATACAAATTTAACATGCTCCGGGATACCCATTGAAAAAATACCCATATGTGACTTTTATCGACTTTCATTATTTTGAAAGTAATAACTCTTTTTTTACGTTTTTTATGGTAAAGAGTGACCCAATCTGGGAGGCTCTGATGTATAATTCTTGCAGAAAACGAAACGCCTGCCTTTGAAACAGTGTCTGGACAATACTTATTCAAAAAAGACCCTGTTCTGTCCGTGTGACTGATAATGTCAGGTCAAGAGCCGACATCGATTCCCTGTTGGCCGTCCAGTTATTGGGGAAGCGGAAGGGGTGGGGGTAGGGGAAGGGGTAGGGGATGACAAGGGCAACCTGCGAGCGCTCCCTGAGTTTAGGCCCTCATAAACATGCCGACGTTGCCGCCCCGGCAACTTTCGCACTTCACTTTACAAGAATCAAACTCGTGTTCATGCCGGCACACGTGTGCAGGTGTAAGGCAGTTGCCCGGATACGGATACGCCTCTCCGCGCAGTTGTCTGTGCGGGAAAACTTTGGGGAAAACTCAACGCAACGCCAACGTCAGGGAAGTGCGATAAAAATAAACATGCTAGTTGAGTCGCACAAAAGTTTCGTTGGAAAAGCAACCGCAAAGATTGCAAAATTATTAAGAAATGCCACAGAACTAAGCTTCGAGCTGGGGGTAAAAATCAATTAAGTTGGCCAACACACGGCCCTGGCAGCTGGTAAGCCATAAATCAAAAATTATCATTCAACAATTGTTGGCTTTTGTCCGAAGGTCGAACGATATCTATCTTTGTATCTATTTGTTCGAAATTAGTTCGTCCGAGTGTGGTGTGTAATCGAAAAATCTGCCGCAACTGTCAATGGGATTTCCTTATGAATAAGTCAGAGGCATTTCGAAATTCTAATAAATACTGACCAACGCAGGCTGGCGCAAAAGCCGAAAAGCTAAAAAGGCAAAAAAGGCATTTTCAAATTGCTCACATTTTTTTGCCTAAATTACTTTCTGCTCCAAACTCCAAGCCGGGGCCCACTTCTGGACCACAATTTCTGCTGACTTTTCCAACAGAACAACAAGTGGGGCGATTAAGGACATTGGGATACCCATTAATCGGGAATTATCTAAGCCAAGAGGCCTAGGCACAACTTTTGTTTCTGCTCGGAAAAAAAGAACTGTGAGGAAGGAGACACTCCCATCTTTAATCTCTCACTCGCCTCTCGGTCTTCAGGCCTTTAGGGACCTCCCTAGACGGCTTTGTTGCCTTAAGTTTCTTAATCCTCCATGTTGTTGATAGAAATAAATATTTGTTATATATTAGGAGTATTTGAACACCCAAATAGAGGATTTGGCAACATTTTAATCTATTTGTTACAAAAGATTAATATTTTTTTGAGTCGGTTATTCCATCAAGATATTTAAATTTCTTTTAATAATAATTTTCATTCGCTTTTCACTATTTTCCACTGCTTAAAAAACAGCCAAAACTGTCTAAAATGTTTGGATGACTTTAATTTTTCGAATCAGTAAGAAAAAACCTATATTTTTAGAGTTAAAAAACTTGTGGAAAATAACACTGTTGGAAAATACTGCCTGTAGAAATTAATGCGGTCTAAACTACAATTCTTTATGGGTAAATTGAGTGCTGCTTCATAGCCAGCAAGTAAAACGCTCACAAATGGTAACGCAGGCGAGTCAAATACGAGACTTAACGGCACAAAACGCTCGCATTTGGGCCTACATATGTTAGAAATATGAAAGAAATATTTATGTGTCTTTCAGTTTGTGGCAGTGAGCGTATCATTTATGATATTATTGTCTCAAATCTTTTACGAGACTTTTGCGAGAGTTTTTCGACATTTCTGCGAGTCTTTTACGGGATTTTTGCGAGACTAGTGCGTGATTTTGGCGAGACTTTTGCGACATTTTTGCGAGATTTTTGCGATATTTTTGGGAGACTTGCGAGATATTTGCGAGATTTTAGAGATAAATTTTATTTGAGACTTTTGTGAGATTTTTGCGAAACTTTTGCGAGACTTTAGCGAGCATTTTGCAAGACTTTTGCGAGACTTTTGCGAGACTTTTGCGAGATTTTATTTGAGACTTGTGAGATTTTTACTAGATTTTAGCGAGATTTTATTTGAGACTTGTGAGATTTTTACTAGATTTTAGCGAGATTTTATTTGAGCCTTTTGTGAGACTTTTGCGAGATTTTTGCGAGAATTTTGCGAGATTTCTGCGACACAAAACAAATTTTTTTGTTCGCTTGCGAGCTTGTTGGCGAGAATTTTGCTGGACTCCATGAAACCCATTTACCCCCCATAATCCTCAAGCAATGGGTATATGCAATGGCTCTCTCTCTCTCACTCTCTCTACCGTTCTCTCTCTTTCCTTCTTTGGTCGTTTTTCTTCGGCACAAATTGTGTTTGAAATGCTCGGTCGAGGCAATAAAGCTACAGTTTGACTCTGTCGAGAGCACATTGGCCTCTACCTCTCCCACTCACAGTATATCCTGCACATATGAGTACAGTGCACCCCTTTATGTGTGAGATATTCAAATTTATAAATTATGCAATTTTATGGTTTTAAGGCGTAGAATGTGCAAAAATATTATTTTATACACGTTTATGCTCGAGCATGAAAATACACATTTTAGGAAGTGAGTGCCCCCCCCCTGACCCCGCACCACCCCAGCCCACAACTGCAGCACCGCTGCACCCTTGTGCCCCACCCCTTTAAGAGAGAGAGAGAGAGAGAGAGGGAGAGAGAGAGCGCCTGCACTTTAACATAATTTGCATGAATTCTGGCTGCTGCTGCTGGTCTCTAATGCTCCTTCCTGCCGGTCCAACGGCCAGGAGACACTTATCTGAATTATGAATATGCAGGTGCTTATCGGCCTGGCTATAAATACTTTGGTGTGCGAGTCTTTTGCAGCTGAAAAATTTAATATTATCATCAAACATTCGCAAAGCGCCACTAAATCCACGAGTGAAAAGTCAAATGCCGCCACAGTCGCCCATAAATAGGATACTCGAGGAGTATTTAAACGAATCAAGGGGGAGGGTGGGGGGGGATGCGACGTGTACTCAAGAAAGTCTATAATTAAGTTTCACGACTTTTGCTCACTTTAAGCCCTCTGTTCAGGGTCTGTTTGGCGCTTTAACGTTATATTGAAAAGTTGGCATTTAAAAGGATTAAAAACTTTTTCACATAATTTCCTGCCGATTAAAATGTTCAGCAGCGCGACACTGGCTGCGAGACTAAGCTTTAAACTATTGCCATGACAGCACGGGGCACAGGGCACAGGGCACAGGACACACAAAGGATTCACATGTCGCTGAGCAAAGTTTTTTGCATCCGCAACAGACACTGGCAAAAGCTCTAGTTACTTACAAGTTGTAAGTTACAGCCGGTATTAGCTCAAGTGGCAC